GTGGCAGGGCAGCTCCCGCTGTTGAAGATGACTACGAGGCAGGATGTTGTCAGTGCTGAATCACTATCTTGAAGGTTAAATCCAGTCTGGTCTAGAAGACAATATTACTAGTTGCTTGTTTCTTTTGATATAATTATTTTTTGACGAAGTAGCCAGAGGACAGGTTTTAGTATAATGCAGGAAATTTGCTGAGAGGTGTGTCCGCAATGATCTCCATAGAGTCCAGCCTGTAGAAAATCAGAACGATGTCGTGCAAATATATATAAAATTCTGATTACCATTTAAAACTCTTGCAATGCTTTATTTTCAGTCTCTTGTGCCTTGTCCCAAATTATAATAAAATGTAAATATGCCAAAACAACAATCCACTACAATCCACTGGGAATGATGATTATTTTAAAATACCCATAATCGTAACATTAGTACACATTTATAGGTGCCATTTTACTGAAGTGCAAAAATTCGGATTCAGTGTGCATCCATCTTTTAAAAGTATACATTAAACTTTATGTATGCTATTGTGTTAAGGTTTTTTTATTTAAAAAAAAATAGAAATGTACATAACAGGCATATATTAAATAAAGTAAAATAATAGTCTCAAGTATGTATTTCATTACCAAGTCCTGCTCACAAATGTAGCAATGCCATTTTTTTATTGTATGCAAATGGGTTGCAGGCAAACACGGTAGGAGACACTGAAATATTTTACTGCAAACTGACAGTATCACGTCCAGCTGCTGTGTGTATGTTCTCACTCAAGCGTCCTCCTCTCTTCTGTGTTTCAGATGGAGTCCTGGAATACCTCAAGCCCTGCTGAGAGAGAGAGAGAGAGAGAGGAGAGGAGTCACTCGCTCTGATTCTGGCAGTGCTTGGTCATGTTGCCGAGGGTGTGATTGAGAGAGAGGAACCCTCTCTAGGTGATGGTGTAGCAGCACAGAATGGTTTGTGGTGATACAGAGATGCAGGCCGTGATGTGCTGCAGCATCAATTCCTGGGACCTACGCAGCCGAAGGAGAGATTGCATGTGTGTGTGAATGCGTGTGTTGTCTTGCTTTAGCAGCATGTAAATATTGGAGTTACTCCTTGGCCAATGCCTCCAATATTGCTCGTGCTGCTGAAGCAAGAAGTCACCAAGCAGCAAATGCACGTCATCTTTCTATCACAGCTACCAGGGCCTAGCCGGTGCAGGTATGGCTGACTCACAGGTACAGAAATACCTTCATGGACTGAATCATCAATCCAACATAAAGTCAGGAGGACACTCGGCCTCACCGGAGTGAACTGAATGGTCAAAGGTAAAGACAGATGCAGAGTTTAGTTTAGTCTTTGGAAAGTGAGTTAAGTAGCTTTTTTTTTAAAATCAATGTTGCTTTTCCCCCCTTTATAATGTTCATGCACAAACATTTTTTAATGTTTACATTTTGTTTTCCTTTATGTAAAATATGTATCCTTTTTTGTTTCAATCGTTTGTTTCTTCATTAAATATTCCAATTTTATTTTCCTAAACGTGGTTGCATTTTTTTGTGTAAATGCAAACAAATATATATATATAAAAAAAAGGAAAAAACTGACCTGTGAATACTCATTTTGACTAGTTAGGGCACCGTTTGTCGATGTATCTGTTCAGCTTTTGTTTTTAACACTTTTTCACAGGGAACAACTGTTGTCAAATGAGATCTTTTTTTTTTTGTGGTCGCTTTTCTGCTCTGATGTGTTTCAATACTGTTGTAGAAATGTGTTTTGTTTCTGGTGGATGAACCCTAGCGTGACGTGTATTCATGTTTCTTTTAAAGTATTCCTCATTTCCGGTGACTACATTAAGCTAAAAAAAATGTGACTCCAATAGCCTTTTTTCCGATAATAACCAATAAGCAAGTTTTACACATTTATGTGGATTATTGCGATAGTTGCAATGTGCGAGATATTAACATGGAGGCAAATGTCTACAGTTTCGTGCTGGAGAGTTTACGCATGCGTAGCCCATTCTTATATAACATTAATATTAAAAAGCTTAACGCCCAACGGAATTTTGCCCAACGTGTCTGTGCCTATGGGCTATAAAATAATACTATAAAATGTTTGTGATTTTTGTAAAATATTGTATAAAGGCTTGTCACCCTGAAAAAATAAGAATGTAAAGAGCATTATCTCGCAACGCAGGTCTCAAAATGCCATTGAAATAATTTCCGCCATTTTATGAAATGAAATGTATAGGCCTAGGCCTATATTAAAAAAAAACTATAAGCAGGCTAAGTTATGTAACCACGATTTGATCGTGTCCTTGCCATATCCTTGTATTTTGGTTAATGATCATTTATTTATTAATTATTTTGCCGGGGTGAAAGTAGGCTATATAGGATAACTTTGGGGAGTTTTATAAGGGACCCTTTTATACGCAGAAATGCGTCTTTTTTGATAACTGAATGCTGCGTTTTCCTCTGATTTTATCACATCTTGTATCCTTGGCAATAAAGAAATGACGTTTTATTTTTTGTTTAATTGACCAGCACTTAAACCGTTGTTGCCTTTAACTAGTAACACGGCCACTTCTGACACATGTCGATTTAATCTTCTGACCCTTCGTTTTAGTCATATGATGCTTTTAGATCTGAACTAAAGCTGGTCAGCACAGCTGTGATAATAGGAACAGTGCACAGTTTCATAGAGCTGATTTTAATCTATTATTTGACTATGGCAAAACACATTTTAACAATTTAAACACTATTTTTTTTAAAAGTGCATCCACGATGCAGCTGCCTATAGGACGTAGCCTAGAATTGTTTTGATTATTTTTTTTTTTTACTAAACAAATCACGATTTGATTTGAGTACGGATTTGTAAGCGACGTATAGGCTATTTTATGAAATTTCTACGTTTTTGAATCAAATCCAAATTTACTATATGCGGTTTTCCCGCGTGTAGCCTACTTATTTATTTTTTACTTATTATTTAGGCCCATGTTTTATGCACGGGGAAGTCCTCTTATAAGATGTTCTCATATAGCATGGCCGTTAGAAATTATATTTAATTTGGATCTTTTATTTAATTTCTCCGCCAAAGAATAGGCTACACATGTTTGTTTTTTTGCTTAATTTTAATTGAGATTAGACTGATTTTACATGACCTGAATAGATGCAGTTACTGGTCAACGTGTGTTTAGATAGAAGGACCAAGGGGGAAAAAGTCCGTCTATTTTTCAAGTAGCCTATGTGAGTGTGTTTATGTCGGAGCGACTTGGTCCAGATAAATAATTTTACAGCTCGAAATTTTCTGTGCATACAGCTGCAGATCGTCACGCTTTAATTCTATAGACAAATGAATGAGACTGAAGTCTCAAATTCTATTACGGTCCTTTCAAGTGCCTTAAATGTTAGATGCAGGATTTTTTTTTTAGGTTAAAATATGGAATTTTAATAAAAATACAGCATGTATTTTATTTCTTTATGTTGCTTTCCCGACAACCATGCCACTTTTGCCTGGAGTTTTGAGACATAACTAACCTAAATGGTGATGTTCCCTGTTGCTGTATCATTTTTTCATCATGCAAGGTTGCTTTATTTCATGATGACATTTAAACGGTGAATATATTAATTCGTGTATCTGGTGTATTTCAGGTGTTTTTGTAAACGGAGACGTATAAAAAAGAAAGTTACTTGTTACTTGCTGCAAATAAAGTAATAAAACATATTTTGCTATATGTAGCCTACACAGTTAGGCTTCAAATAGCCTAGCAATTGCCGACGTAGGCTTTGCCATTCATTTCATTTGACAAAATGTAAAGAGAAATAAGCATAATGCTAGAACTAAATAGGTATATATACATATATGACGGGAAATTTATTTGGATATATATACAATTTTCAACTTTACAAAGAAAAACAGCAACATGCAAAGTATTTTTCAGTGCGTAGTCAGTTCCTAAAGAGGCGAGTATTGACCGAATTTAACAATTGAATCATTAGAAACATTAAACACAGGAAACCAGAACGTTTAAAGCAAAAAGAAATGGCACTTGTGTTGATGACTTTTTTCCTTAAAATAATATTGAAGTTAGGTCTACTGGTGCAAGATATGGTAGGGTAGGCAATGCGATAGAGTGAAGATGGTGTCATTATTATTAAGACACAATGGTTCATTCGCTTAAAAAAGAGAAAGAAAATCGAATAATTGAAATTATATAACACATAGCGCCATTTCAGAGTGAGCTTCCTATTGTCGGCAATGCATTCTGCATGGCTTCAGAAAATGTAGCCTATTTATTCATAAATTCGTTATTTAATTTACTTTTAGTTATGTAAGGTTGTATTTGGTAAAGTAGGTTAAAGTAGGAAATTTCACGTTTCATCCCCAATTCGCCTGGCAACAGTCGGCTAAATATATGTTCGGTGACGTGCGAAGGGCTCCAGTGGTGACGTCATATCAGAACAGTCGTCCGAGAATCTCAGGATTCCTGCTTATAAACAGTGGGAAAAAGGGGATGCCTTAAAAAAAAAAAAATTCTAAACAGTCCTGACTTTGTTCATTTTTGCACATCTCATGTCTCTCTTGGGTGAAATTGTACACATTAAAGACATTGATGAGCTCTAGTCTTTGAATAAAGTTAAACCAACAACAAAACAAACATAGCAGGATACAAGTTCATTCTAAGTAAACATTATAAACGAATCCTGTCCTGGTGTGAGTCTGACATTGTTACGTAACGTTTAACCTTGAGTATGTAAATAACTCGCACACAGAAGATAAAATATTTCAATGCACTTTCGGAATAAGTGTTCCTCTTCTTTAGTTAACTTCCAAAACGGTATAATTTATTCAATCAAGCTGTCTGCTTGTATTCGAGATGAACTTGTGGAGATGAACTATTTAGCTCTATATAATTTAAATGAATAGGGATTTTTTTTTTTATTTAAGATTTGGGAATGTTGTTAGTACCCTATACCACGATCCATCCACACTTGTATTTTTTTTTTTTTTTTTTTTTTTTTTTTTAAACCGACAGACAAAATCAGTGCAATTTTATAGCACACAAAAATGCTAGTTATGTTTTGTTACAAATTCAAAAACAGACACGAACTAAATTTATCCAATGCTTCAAATCTACGGGATTGGCACAATGTAGTAGTACATAAAAAAGTACCTAAGGAATGGAGTTATAAAATCAGCTGATGAAATCAGATGTCGTGTTTATCAGGTCCAAGATACAGTTCCGACACATCTCAGTTATTAGTGTGCAGATCTCAGCCGCTTCTGTCCAGCAGAACCCGAGCCAGCGCACGATCTCTCCAGGACCGGGCAGAGAAAAGCCACTGAGTGCGACCACCTTATCCTGGAAGCTCAAAGCGAGGCAGTCCGATGGGAGAAAGTTCAGCGCGGGGAGACACGCACATATAACCAGAACAACTCTCCACATCACACGGGAGAAGCGCGGAGCGGCAGCAGGGGGCAGCGAAGACAGGTACGCGCTGCTCTCGTAGGGGGCGCACAGCTTGTCCACTTCTCCAAGACGCACCCGGTCCCATTCCTTAACATCGAAGCTCTGCAGGCCAAGCAAACCCACGTCCACGTCAGTCCGCGATGGCAGTGGCGTTCCCCGAATGACGCGCAGCTTTTCTCTGAAGTCCTGCATCTGCTGGAGGAAAGTGAGCGGGTCGGAGAGCGAACGGAAGGATTCGGCGATGTTGAGCGCGCGCCGCTGCTCCTCGAGCGCCGAGCGCAGCTGGTTGATCTCGGGGTCAAAGGTCTGCATGACCGCGAGCTTCAGAGTCTCCAAGTCCGAGAGAATCTCGCTCCGTTTGTGGTCCAGCGTGCGCAGAAGTTTGTCAAAGTACTCTGAGACTCGATCCGCATCCCGCGAGACCCTCTCCAGCGCTTTCTTCTTAGCTCCCTCTAACGATTCCAGGCACGAATGCACCTCCGCGCCCCTCCAGCCCTCCACAACGCGAAACAAGTCCTCAAACGCGAGCTTCTCGCGTTCGTACGCCTCCTCCAGCGCGCAAAACTTGTGTCCTTTATGATCACCTGTCGTGGCGCAAAAACCACAGATGAGCTTCAGATCCGTGGCGCAGAAGATATTGAGCGGTTGTCCGCTGTGAGCTCGACAGAGAGACATCCTCGGCATCACTCGAATCCTGTTGTACTTCTCCACGATGCCACGCAATGAGTAATTAACTTGCAAGCTCGCGATGCCGTTGTGCACGGTTTCCTTTCGACAGGTCGGACATTTGAACGGGGGTCTCCATGCAGGGCTCCGGTTACCGTCCAGGATGCCCTCGAGACACTTCTTGCAGAAGCTGTGAGAGCACGGTAGAACACGCGGGTCCTCGAAAAGACAGCAGCATATTGGACATGTGAGGTCCTCTTCTAAGAGCTCCATCGTATCCTAAAGAGGAAAGAGACATCAATATGAAAGCTTGTCGGGGGCATGACACATCAATACAACTCTCATCATAGCAAGCTTCTCTCTCGTGCTTCTCACACCGATTGTGAAGTCTAGAGCACTTAGTGCTGTCCAGTGTAATTTTTGACACTATCTACATTACGCGCAATAAGCAAAGATATTCACAAACAAGTAGGCTATTTTTTATGCATCGAAAAATGTTTTTATATTGCGAGAATGCGTTATGAGTCTACATAGAATAAATAATGGAACATAACTAGCTTCAGTCAACATTTTACAGTGCGATTCTGTGAAGAGGCACAGCAGGTTAACCAAATATAGTAGTTCAGATTGCCTGATGATGAAGACTCCTGAGTGCACCAGTACTTCATTTTAATTGCCCGCGTGAGAACTTTCGTGCAGGAATATCCGAGGACCTGTCCAACAAACTTCAAGGAATTGATTTGGGAAAAAAAAAATATCCCAGCCGTCGATTTGTCAAACTGTTTCTCGGTATGCCCGGGTCCGGTTGTCAAGGTATTACTGTTGTTGAGGCAGATTTTGCTGGCAGAAAGCACCAGCAATTGGATCAGAAGTGCACTAGCTGCATAGGCAGTGTGCAACGCAATCATGGCTCTTGTTGCTGTGCAGACTTCGCCCTTTCCAATTGGGAAATTTTAACTAGTTCAGGTCAAGTCAGTATGGCCAGGCAATTAAAACTAATGCGCACAGACAGCTATTGTACAGTGATTCTAAAGTTAAACATTTCAATGCCACATTCAGCATAATATCCGCGTAGCATTGTATTTGCCGACTCGGGTAGTTGAACACGTTTTGTGCGGTGAGAAATAAATGCAGAGGATCCCTTCATTCTTGGATGGTGTTGTTGCGGGGGAGCGCTCACTCTCTCCTAGATCAGCGTTTCTTTACAGATTACGTCAATACTTGCGTTCCCCATCATCTACCCGCATAGACGCATAATTCATCTATTCAGTGAACTACAATAACTACGTGGTTTTCATTTACAACTAGTCATGGTTTACAGACACAAACAACCAAAAAGCACGTCCGTATTTCCTGCCCCAATGATGATTCTTCTCGCCACTTTGGTCGCATATGCCCGTGCCATGTGTCAGGGTCTTGACGCATCGATAACCAATCGCTACCGAGTCACGTGTCAAAATATTTTGACCTCGATTTTTCTTCCCCTGTTTCCATGCCATCAGGAAGAGAACGGCGTCCGAGGCGCAGCGCTCATTGGTCGAATCAGGGATGAGAGCGCGTGCAGTGACGTAATTGGCCACGAGAGGGCGAGAGAACCACAAATGTGATAACGCTAGAGGGGATTTTTAAAATTGTTTTTATGTATTGTATATTAATTCGGTAATAAAATAAACCAAAATCCACAAGGGGGGCACATACACTTAAAAAAGCAAACAATTCATCCCAATCCATTTCAATAATATGATATGGCGTGTTCTCAAAGCTTTTCTGGTCAGTTGGATGTTTTGGTTTTGAACTTTAAGCACATTGCCTTGATTGTGATATTTACCTATTACACAAATAATTTAAGTATTATAAAAAATTAAGTATTCTCTAACTCTTGGTAGAATGTGGGATTTAATCTGGTGGAGTTTAGCGGTCAAAATAATAATTCTCCAATTTGCCTCAGTGTGTATTTTCCATTCAATGACTATTAAAGTTTCTCAATGTGATTATTTGGATGTAAATTATTTTCCAGACCGACGGTAAAGCGTCAGGAGTTATCTGATACTTTTCTCTGCGCTGGTCAGGATGGGGCATTTTCTGTCGTTTTTGATTACTGCACAACAAAATATATATATATTATATATATATTATGTATATTTCCGTGCAAAAATCTGCTACAACTCCAAATTTAAATATTGTTATTAGTGTAAAATGGTTTAATAATACAACTGTTTTGAATGTGGTCCAAAGGAGTCGGTAAGCGCCCCCTTGAGGTGGTTAACGAGAAAAACACCAGCCGTCGACAATGATTTTTCCATGAGAGCTCGTGCGCTCTTGAGTTTGACGTGTGTAACTGCACTTCCGGCGACCTCAGCGCTAGAATGGCTGCAGTTTTTACGTGTTGTTTGGGCTGCTGCGGGGATGGCGGACCGGGTCACGCTCCCCTCAAAGATATGCCCACCGTACAGCTAGACACGCATCACATGGGTAAGAGGTCATTTCCACTGCTCAGCGGGGTCACAAAATTTACCAAATTAATTTTAACACGAAGAGAGGTGTCAAGCTAACAGATAATGCTATATCTTAAAAACAAAGGTTAGAACACAAAGTAACTATTGCCATCACTGTTTTTAATCAAACAGTATGTTTTCTATGTAATAATATCTAATCAATCATGTCAAGTAGTCCTAACTACTCTGGATCAGATGCTAGTTGCTAGTACACAGCTGCCAGATCCAGTGTCTAATTTGATTGCATTTCAATTGAGTGAATCCAGGACGTGAGGTTCAATTCAGACTCGTTTTTTGCCGATATCTCTGAAAACGTTTTGAAATACATACCTTGTGCTGTAGCAGTGTGGGCATGAGAGTTTGCTCGGCCTTTTTTCCCAGGGACGGATGTGGTCATAGTGAAAAGTGGGAGGCGGATCTGTGGAACTGGAGCCTGCCTCGCCAACGCCCCTCTACACCAGAACAAGAGCTATTTTGAGTTCAAGATCCAGTCCACGGGTGAGTGCCCTTTTGGTCAGAAATGAATCATGTGTAATCATGGCTTCAGATAATCCGGTTTTTAATATTTTGCTAATTATTGTGCAAACACTGTAGTAATTTGTAGCTGTCAGACAGATCTATTTGTTGTTTTAAAGTGGAATGTTGTTGAGTGTGTAGCTATGAAGTGGATTCTGACCAAAAAAAGTTGTTTAGCTTTATAAGTGAGCAAGATTTCACCTTAATTTAAAAGTTAATTTATGTACCACATATGTCAAAAATGTGACCAAATTCAAAAGAAAAACATATTTGCAAAAAGAAAAAGAAACATATATATATATATATATATATATATAAAAGTAACCTATTATTGGGACCCTTAGATTTGTTTTGCATTGTGACATTAATTTTAGTACAATTTTACCTCCCAAATCTCTGTATTATTGGTCTTTAGATGGGTATGTATAGCTTTAGATATCTGTGGGCTATGAACTTTTGCTGATGTTTGCGATGCAGGTGTTTGGGGGATCGGTGTGGCCACTCAGAAGGTGAATTTGAACCAGGTGCCACTGGGTCAAGACAGCCACAGTTTGGTACTTAGACATGATGGCTCCATATACCACAACAACGAGGAGAAGAACCGTTTACCTGCCAACAGCCTGCCTCAGGAGGGGGATATAGTGGTACATTTTTACTTCTTTGGTGTGTTGGTTACATTCTAGATTGTGATAAATAGCTAAATTGTGGAATACTACTAGTATATACTGTAGAAGACATATTGCTCGTGGTCATAAGTGTGTGTGTGTGTGTCTGTTTTTAGGGCCTGACCTATGATCATGTGGAACTGAACCTGTACTTAAATGGAAAGAGCATGCACTGTCCAGCCTCAGGTATTCGAGGGACTGTGTTCCCCATAGTTTATGGTGAGTTGTGTATTGTTTCTTTATCAATGACAGATACAGGACATCACATTTTTTTTTTGGTATAGGAATTTCATGGTCATTATTGGAGCAAGTAGTTGATTTATTTGGTGGCCATTTTGGTAAGGGATTGAAAGATGTTACCTACCACCCTCAGATTTTAAAACTGCCATAGTATCTTATGTCATCAACAAATGGCAAAAAGAATGGGATCAGTGTACAAACAACAAACTTTTAACCCTACTGTGGGTAAAAGCATCTTTATTTTTAACATTTGCTGGGATCAGATCATATATACACAATGCCAAATAGGGCATTCCATAATCACACATACAAGTCCTTTATATCAAGTGAAAATCTATGCATTTTAATTTTTATATTAAGAAGCATAGCGGTGGTCCAATCTCTTATTTTATTAAATTATTCTGGCTTGAGTTCTCTTAGGAAATATATTACTCAGATTACTCAATGTTACTCAATTTATTTTTAACAGGGTCAACCCTGAATTCATTTTAGAGTTTTTATCTTAAGCAAATTTTAAAAACCTTTTAAGCAAAAAAAAAAAAAGTTTTATTGCTTTAAAAAAAAAATAGTATTAACATTGCCAAGGAAGCCGGGATGGGGTTAAAACACCAATCAAATGCCAAGATTACATTTCAGTAATAATACTGAAGTTGAAATGTTACATATAAATTAAATAATATTGCTATAGTTTCATTAATTTGTATATAATACTTTTCAACTCTTTAATAAAATCTGAATTTTGATATTATTTATTTCCAGTTATTTATTTCTTTAGTTCCAGTCATGCTAAAAACTAGTTTTCAGGCTAGTCCAGCTAAAGAAATAACATTTCAAAGCAAAATGCAATGCCTTTTCCAAAAAATTAATTAGCTCTTTTAATTCAAAACTGGGTCACTTCCCAGAGTGTTGCAATTTAGCATTTTCCTATCAGTGTCCCTTTTCTATTGTGCAAATGAATGGGAGGTAATCTTTTACTCACCCTCATGTCTTTCCAAATCTTTAAGACTCTTCTGTGGAGCACAAAAGTCAATGAGCTCCAATGTTTGGTTCCCAATGTTCTTCAAAATATCTTCTTTTCTGCAGAAGAAAGTCTTGCAGGTTTAGAACTACATTAGGGCTGAGTAATGATGACAGAATTTTTGGGGTGAATGATCTCTTTAAGGTAAAAAAAAGATATATTAAAAGCTTTCATAATGTCCAAATGGCTCTTGATTATTGAAGGAACATTTAAAACAATAATTATTAATAATACATTTCAAATAAACGTAATGTGCTGTTAATTTGCTGTATCTTTCAGTAGAAGTTTTCAAGGGATGAGAAAAATAGATTTTTCATGATTTATGATCTGCTGTTTGCAGAGACGAGCTGTCATGAAATGTTTTTTTGCCATTCATATGATGAACTAACATTATATTGATGTTTGTAATCTGTTCTCTCTCAGTGGATGACAGTGCCATCATAGACTGCCAGTTCAGTGATTTCTACCATACTCCACCTGAAGGCTTTGAAAAGATTCTGTTTGAACAGCAGATCTTTTGAATCGTCAGCTACGTGTGCAGACACACATAGTGTGAAGTTGAACTGTGTGTGGCAGTACGTGCTGCTTATGTTCTCTTTCAATGTTGCTTCTGCCTTTGCTGTTACTACTGCTGCTCTTGTCCATTTGGAGGTCAAACCAGGCTTTATTTCTATGTGTGTGTGTGAGAGAGAGAGAGTTTGTACACGCACAAATGAGAGCGAATCTACAACACTTTACATAAGCACTGAAGACACTTACTGATATCTACTTTCTGTAGTGGGCGATATTGATAAACTGAGCTTATACTTTTATTTCATGACAATGCAAATGAATTAGCAGCTGATCACTTTTTGTTCTTATTTTGTATGTTTATTTGATTTGATTTATGTATAAATTATTGTTGACTTTCTCTATCTACACATATCAGCTTTCTTGAATGAACCAATTGTATTTGCACTAGTTATGTGTGGTTGAAAATCAAAACAAACCTCTCTTGTTAAAATATATGATCAGAAACAGTTCGATAGGTTTTTGATGCGTCTGTTACTGTCATTTGCCTTTCATCTGAACTAGGCGTGTGTGTTTTCTTCATATTGATAGATTGCTAACAATAGCAATTTTCAATATTTTCCACAGTGTATTTTATCACTTTACCTCTATGATCTCTATTGCACTTAATATTAAATAAGTGACTTTGGCTGGGCAGGCTCCAGAGTGATAAATAACCTCTACAATGTTTAAGACTAGCATGAATCTGTTTAACATGGCCAGTTCTGATGCATTAGCAGATATCTTACCAAAACCCTTCGAATGTGTTAGACTGAAGATTCACCAAAACATTTATTTTTGTCTCGGATGTATTTTCCTTCAATGATATTGCGCTTGACCCCAGTTATTCACATATTTACAGCAACATTAATTACAAATATTAACAACATTTTGCTGGTTACAGCAGAAATGTTATTCTACAAAAGAATGTTATCTACTCATAACACTAAACCACTCTTAATCACACATTGATTTTATTCAAATAATGAACGTGAACAAAATGGCCATGCAGTTACCCAAAGGCAATGTGCTTTTCTGAAAACGTTGTGTCCTGTAGTAATCTTTTTTTTTTTGGTCCCAAACAAAGCTTGAATTCTCTCTGTACACTGTGTCTTATGGTACATTCCACAAGTGCTGTATTTAATACAATTAAATATTCTGTATCTGTGTCATAGTGTGAAATGAGGACAGTCACCTATGACCATTTAAAATGTCAACAACGTACCAAGCACGTCTGCAAAAATAAAGTGTTCTATTTAGCTAAAATCGAAAATGCGTCTCTAGATCTTTCATTGTTAACTAGGAATAATGTGGGTTAGTTGTAAACATTATGTGTGTGTGTGTATATAATAAAAAAGTAGCCCCTTAATTTTGATGTGTTTTACTCATATGCCACACTACCATTTAGCATCATCCAGAAATATTATACCTAACAGGGATGAGTGAGTAACTCTTTGTAAACCCCCCAGAGCAGACGCTTTTTATTGTTCCTATTGTCTTGATTTCTCAGCTGGTCTAGACATTAGTAATGACAGACAGGAGGGGGTTCAGTGAATATTTTGAAAAAGACAAAAAAAGCATCTTTAAAGATCTTTCATCCTACTATTTTCAAGTGTGTACTGCTTTGATGGTTCAAAAATTGAGTAAAACTAGAGATAAAGGCAGCATTTTATAATAACTTATGAATAAATAACACATTACATTATGTAATCTACATATATACATTCATAACATTCAAATAAATGTCATGAAACTACTTGAAATATCTCATTATTGAACTGTTCATATTTGAATGTACATAAACATATACAGTATATGTGTTGTTTTTTACACAAGTATTATTTTTAGACCAAAATAGTTGTTAAGTTAATTAGCTAAAACACCGTTTAGACAAAGTTTGGATTAAACTGGCAAAATGCTGTTGGAAGATCAATGAGCTGATTTTTTTTTTTTTTGGTAAGCCTTTTAAAGCTTTTGAGATGAGTGTCTGCTGCCACCTAGTGTCTATGGATATTTGGGAATGAAGTGTCTTTCCTCTTATAAAGCTACAGATGAGCAGGCCAAAGTCTCACTACCAAAGTCAAAACACTCAAGACAAAAAAGAAACAGCGTATCTGTACAACAGACAAATACTGCTCACTTCTCTTTAAAAGTGTCAAAAGCCATGTTTTAAAATACAATGCAGGAACTGTGAAGAACGTTTCTTACTGTCAGAGGTGGACAGTAACAAAGGGCATTTACTTGAGTACTGTACTTAAGTACACTTTTTGAGTATCTGTACTGTACTTGAGTATTATTTTTTCTGGAAACTTTTTTACTTTAACTTCACTACATTTGAAAGACAAATATCGTACTTTTTACTCCACTACATTTCGTTCAAGGTCCTTGAGTAGAAAGTAGTAACGTTAGTCAGAGGATGTTTTTGGTTGCAGGGGTTGGAAATGAAAGTCGGGTTGACGTCAGAACCCGACGTCGGATAGACGTTGGAAATTAAAGTCGGGTTGGAAATGATAGTCGGGTTGATGTCAGAACCCGACTGATGTCGGTTTCTGACGTCAACCCGATTTTAATTTTCAACTACAATACAACGTCTGTCCAACGTTGGAGATTAAGTCAATCTGACGTTGGATTCTGACATCAAACTGATTTTCATTTTTAACGTTGGGTTTGGTCTTCTAAATGCGACTTTTGTCATTGTTTTGGAGCACATTAGCTTATAACAGTAAGGCTAACATATCTATCAATAAATTACAGGAACGTCTGTCTGTTAATCAAATATCTCTCGAACCGTTAGTCCGATGGATTTCAAACTTGACGGGTGTCTTGCTACGGGCATGAGTAAGTGCAGTGCCGAGTTTGACGTTGTTTGGATTAGAAATGCAAAAGATATCGTTAAATATATCGGTAAAAGAAGCACACATTGAAGTTGTGGTTTAAAAACAAACATTCTGACATTAGAGAGAGTTGTGGTTTAAAAATAAACACTGTCAGCTAAACATTAAAGGACAACTCCGGCGCAAAATGAACCTTTGGTCTAATAACACATTGGTACCTGTCATCCGTTCTCTGAGATTTGTTTTCATGATAATCGAATGTAAAGAGTTTTATCTCTAAAAACTGTTTAGCGTATAACGCTAGTATATAGGGCATAGAGTAATGAAAATTAATCGCTAATACTAACAAGGCTCAAAATAGCCCCACACTAACACGGTAACATAATGAGGGTCCCTACATGCAAACCGAAGCATTGAGGGACCCTCATTATGTTACCGTGTTAGTGTGGGGCTATTTTGAGTCTTGTTAGTGGTATAAACTAGCGATTTTTATTTTTTATTACTCTATGCCCTATACTAGCGTTATACGCTAAACAGTTTTTAGAGATAAAACTCTTTACATTCGATTATCATGAAAACAAATCTCAGAGAACGGTTGACTACTTACCAATGTGTTATTAGACCAAAGGTTCATTTTGCGCTGGAGTTGTCCTTTAAGTCAGCTACACTGTTTACTTCTGAATATTGTGGTTATTCAGAAGTAGTTAGTTGTCAGTAGTTAATATATAGTTAAATTTTGCATACTGTATGTCAGTATCAGTATTTGCTTTCAACCATGCACATATAAAATGTCACTGAACTTTTGCTGTGTAATTGTAACAATGAGCACTCAAACACACCAAACTAACAATTACTAAAAACACACAAAAACTGATGTTGCACATACATACTGTCAAATCGATTAATCGCGATTAAAAAATATATACAGTACACACACACGTATAATATACAGGTTATATAAATAATATAGCCTATACACAGACACACATACATCCATCTATAATTTTACAGAAACGTCTGTCTGTGTGTCTGTTATTCCTATATCTCGATAAAAGAAGCACACATAGAAGATGTTTAGATGATGTTTAGAAGGTTGTGGTTTAAAAATAAACATTCTGACATTAGAGAGAGTTGTGGTTTAAAAATAAACATTCTGTCAGCTAAACATTAAGTCAGCTACACTGTTTACTTCTGAAGTAAAAAAGTAGCGATTCTTTTTGAGGTTGTTATTATACATTTATGTAAGGGTTAATGCCCGACGAGGTGTCTATTGTCAGGTATTAATGGACTACGGCGAGGCGTGAACCGTCCGACGCGCAGCGGTTGCCTCCGCCGAAGTCCATTAATACCTGACAAGGGCATTAACCCGCTTATACCATGGTCACTTGCCAAATAACACATTTTTAAAACATTAGTTTATATTTTAATTAGTTTTACAATCGAAATCTAAAGTTTTTACAAACAATAACTTGGTTTCCCTGGTTACGCCTGACGGTTTATTTAGCAACCGGAGACATACGCCTTCAGAACCCTTCAGTTTAGCTAACTTACAAGCCAGAAAGTTAACTTATTTTATGTCAAATTCTCCAAAAAGGTTAAAAGAAATAACGAAGTCGCTCGTTGTATTAGTAGGCTATGTATAACGGCTAACTAGATGTTTGTTTTGATACAATAAATTGTAAACGGATACTTTGACTGCCTGTTGCTATGGTTACTCACAGCTGATGTAGCCAGCGCATTTATTTATTAATTTCGAACGGTAAACAGTCAGTTTCACCAGAACTCCTTTACTAGGTGTCCTCTATCACTTTTTAATGGACACCCTGCAGCCAATCAGAATCGAGTATTCACCCAGACCATGGTATAATACAATGTAATTATAAGTTTATTACAATGTAATTATACATTTATTACTGTGTTATTATACATTTATTACAATGTAATTATACGTTTATTACAGTGTTATTATACATTTGTTACATTATTATTATTATTATACATTTGTTACATTATTATTTTGTTACATGATTCTTTTTGGAAAAAATATCGATTCTTTTAGGAAAAGTAGCGATTCTTTCTGAAAAAAGTATCGATTCTTTTTGGAAAAGTAGCGATTCTTTCTGAAAAAAGTATCGATTCTTTTGGAAAAAGTAGCGATTCTTTTGGAAAAAGTATCGATTCTTTTGGAAAAAGTAGCGATTCTTTTGGAAAAAGTATTGATTTCTTTTTGAAAAAGTAGCGATTCCTTTTGAAAAAAGTAGCGACTCTTTAAAAAAGTAGTGATTCTTTTTGAAAAAAGTAGTGTAAAAAATTTATACATTAGTCTTATTATACATTTATTACAATGTAATTATGTGTTTATTACAATGTAATTATATGTTTATTACAATGTAATTATACATTTATTACTGTGTTATTATACATTTATTACAATGTAATTATGTTTATTACAATGTAATTATACATTTATTACTGTGTTATTATACATTTATTACAATGTAATTATACGTTTATTACAATGTATTTATACATTACAGTGTTATTATACGTTTATTACAATGTGTTTGTAACGGCTTTCCATTAAGCCGCTGTGTTATTGGTAATAGGAGTGAGCAAGTAATTAACGCGTATAAACTCCATGAACACAGATGTAAGATGCAAACAATGTGTTTTATTTCTTGTGCTCTAATTAATAAACGTTGCTTCCAATTAGCTTCTTGTGGTGTCTCATTCTTTGTTGTTCAAAGCATACTAATGTTAAATCCATACCTTGCAGATACAGCGCACGCATATTGTCCATATTCCATGTGTCCTTGAACATTGCTTAACACGTATAAAAAACTGTGTGCTTCCCCACTACCAATACACCTCCCATTACCCTTTTTTTTTTAAAGTAGCGATTCTTTTTTTTTTTTAAAGTAGCGATTCTTTTTTTTTTTTTTTAAGTAGCGATTCTTTTTGAAAAAAGCAATGATTCTTTCTGGAAAAAGTATCGATTCTTTTCTGAAAATGTAGCGATTCTTTTTAAAAAGTAGCGATTATTTTCTGAATAAGTAGTGATTCTTTTTGAAACAAGTAGCAAATATTTTTGAAAAAGTATCGATTCTTTTTGGAAAAGTATCGATTCTATTCTGAATAAGTAGCGATTCTTTTTGAAAAAGTATTGTAAAAAATGTAATTATACATTTATTACAGTCTTATTATACATTTATTACAATGTAATTATATGTTTATTCATCAAGGCCTTTTACAGCGCAAGCGCCGATCTGAACGGTATCTAGCATGCCGTCTTTCTGTGCAAAAGCTGGTGTAAGCATGACAGGACAAAGCTGTGCCTTCTGTCAGTGCAGACCGCCAAGCTGCCCGGTCTTCCGCAAGGTGAGTAAGTTTATTACTAAGTTTATTACAATGTAATTATACATTTATTATAGTGTTATTATACGTTTATTACAATGTAATTATACATTTATTACAGTGTTATTATACATTTGTTACATTATTATTTTGTTACATTCTTCTTTCTAGAAAAAGTATCGATTCTTTTTAGAAAAGTAGCAATTCTTTTTGAAAGAAGTAGCGATTCTTTTTGAAAAAAGTAGCGATTCTTTTTGGAAAAAGTATCGATTCTTTTTGAAAAAGTAGCGATTCTTTTTGGAAAAAGTATCGATTCCTTTTGAAAAAAGTAGCGACTCTTTTTGAAAAAGTAGTGATTCTTTTTGGAAAAGTAGCGATTCTTTTTGGAAAAAGTAGTGTAAAAAATGTAATTATACATTTGTTACAGTCTTATTATACATTTATTACAATGTAATTATATGTTTATTACAATGTAATTATACATGTATTACAGTGTTATTATACGTTTATTACAATGTAATTATACATTTATTAAAGTGTTATACATTTGTTACATTATTATATTTGTTACATTAATATTTTGTTACATTATTCTTTTTGAATCAAGTAGCGATTCTTTTCTGAAAAAGTAGCGATTCTTTTTAAAAAAGCAACGATTCTTTCTGGAAAAAGTATCGATTCTTTTCTGAAAAAGTAGCGATTCTTTTTGAAAATCGATTAATATCGATTAAATAGGGCACTATTAGAGGGAACATCCATTTGGGTGTCTGAAACCATTGTGGATGTTATTGAGTGCACTTATTCAATCTCACATTCAATCCCATTACTGGAACTGTGTTCTAGAAATAAATTTGATATTGATATGAGGGTAGGTAGGCAGGCATAGATTCAGAGGTATAAGGTACTGTTGACATTTACTTGTTGATACTTAAGTACTTTTAAAAACGAGCACTTCTGTACTTTTACTTGTAACGAAGTAATATTTGACCAGTAGTATCTGTACTTTCACTTAAGTAAGGAGGTTGTGTACTTACTCCACCTCTGCTTACTGTATGCACCTCCTTTGTTTATTTACAGACCTGCAAACTCACAAGAGGTGAAAAGGTGTAACATTTTTGTGATTTCATGTAAACGAAGCATTCTTCGGCACTCTGACAACAAAATAATGAGAAAAGACATAATTTGCTTAAAGTAAAAAAAAAATTGTTTTATTGACAGACAGGGAATTGAGACGAATTTCACCATTGGATTTTCACCATTGGACTTTCGATTCGCTTAACTTCAATTTAATATTGATTAATTTGGGTTCTATCAGGTACAGTACATGGCAAATTTACTCCAAGAAAAAATATCTCTCAACTAATGCTGAAAAACTATACAGGGAACCCGTTGGTACATCATATAGTATACTATATTTTTAATGACATAATTTTGTTTTTTAATATAAACATTTAAATGGTGGCTACCCCTCTTGAAACCTTTATTTTGACGAGTGTAAAATAAAGTCTCACTCCGGTCTATGGGAAATTAGCTCATTTTCAATTCTTGTGAGGTTTATTGTTCTTGCAAAAAAACAAACAAACAAATTCACATATTAAATATTCTGATACAAAACGTTGAATTTCACCAAAAAGCGATAACATCAAAATTATATATCAGGTATATTTCACAAGATTTCTGCCATCGATGTAAACATTTAAAAACAAACTAAAACAAAGATTAGATTTTTGTAAACATACTGTATGAACAGTGGCATCACTTGACTATAAAAAAGGTATAAAGGACTGACTGCTTGAAGCAGTCATATCATTTCTTGTATTATATCATATTATCATTTAAAAGTAGGCCAAAAAAACAACAACTGAAAAAGACATTAATACTACTATAGAGTAGATGATTATATTATTATATTAAACCCAGTACAGCTCTGGCATCCCTCAGTGCTGCTTTTTTCCTCTGCAAATCCCGTTCCTGCTCCTCCAAGTCTGGAAACACAAAAGATAATGCCATCTCATGAAGCAATGCTATTTGAGTCCCCACAATAATTTTCCTTTATAATGTATGATTCATTACAACAAGGCACTGAATGAGATTATAATTACATTCAAACTTGCTATCACACGGTTTCAATAATATAAAACTTTAGATTTAAGTGGTTATGAATGAAATGCTGTACCTTGTTCCAGCTGAGTAATAATGCAAGGTAGACGTCCAGATGCCTCCAGTAGTTTGAGAGCAACATCATAGTCTGTGAAACATTTAAAAGCCATCAGCCTTTCAGTTGTTCTCTCAACTCAGGTTCAAGCTGAGTTGACTGCATTTGTGACATAATGTTGATCAACACACACAAATTTGAATTGTCCCTCCTTTTCTAAAAAACAACAACAAAAAAAACCCCATCATGGCTAAGATGAGAAACCTGGAAGTAAATGTAACTGATTTTTGGAAAATCTCAAAGCAAAAATGTGGAGCTTAAAATTTTATAAAAGCACTTAATTCTTCTGTTAAAATTTGTTTATTAATTGAGCTGTAAAGTTGTTTTCATTTCAACCTGTCACTCACAATATTCCACAAAACCGGTCTGAATCAAGGCTGTTCTCACCCTGGTGGCTGGCTTCCTGTGATTGTACTCTTTCTCCCAAGCTTCCCAGCTGAGACACAAGCTCTGAGAAGATTTTTTCAGTCCACCCGGCCTGATTGCATCTAGTCCAGAATATGACCGCGTTGGACTGGGTGCTTCCTGTGTCGTTTACATCACAAGCATCTGATGCAGTGGCCCGATCTAGTGATGTAGACACCCCAGCCGGAGAAGAAGGTTCTGGTAGCTCCTCAATGTTGAAGTCTGGCTTTGAATGCCGAGGTGACCCTGGCTGACCTGAGGGACCTTCGCTGTCATGGTGCTTTTCTGGCGTAGAGTCAGCAGTACCTGGTGAGACTGTGTCAGTGGTTGGAGCTCTGGGCACCGGAGAGGTTCTACTTGTGGATGGTGTTTCCTCATGTTCAGGGGCTGCGACAAACCCAGGTGAGGAGCAAACAGCCTCTGGGGCAGCACTGACAGGTGAACCAAGTTCTAGACTGTACTCTGAAATACAGAGAGAATCTATTGCCACACTGATTCGCGCTTCATTGAAATGACAGCAGCAAGACAACAGAAGAGAGATAAACGCACCTGATTCTGCTGAGGGTCCCGAGTCTACAATAACGTTAAATGGAACAGTGGTATGATACATTTCTGATGGTAACAAACTCTGAGAATCTTCCTGAGAGAGAGAGAGAGAGAGAGAACACTGTAAGCAATCACACTTAACTAATGTAGGCTAGTTAAGAGTGACTGAGTATAGTGGCGAGTATGATACACTGTTCATAAGTTTGAATCAGTAAGATATATTTTTAAAGAAATTAATACTTTGATTCAGCAAGGATTTATTTAAATTGATCAAAAGTGACAGTAAAGAAATAATGATTTCTATTTCAAAAACATGCTGTTCTTTTGAACATTCTATTCCTAAAAAATATATCAGGGTTTCCACCAAAATATTAAGCAGCACAAGTGTTTTCAACACTCGTTTATTAAGCACCCAATCAGCATATTAGAATAATTTCTGAAAGGATCATGTGACACTGAAGACTTGAGTAATGGCTGCTGAAAATGCAAAGGATTACATTTACAATTAATAGCAAATAGTTATTTTGTAAGATTATTTTACAATAATGGTATTTTTGATCAAACAAATGCAGCCAAGAGGTTGAGCATAAGAGACTTGTTTAAAAAACATTCAAAAAATCTTACCAACCCCAAACTTCTGAACAGTAATATAACTGTACTGCAGTGTGATGGATTTGCCATATCGAACATACTACATTTGATATGGTATTATTGGTATATGTATGTTTAAAGTTTGGGAGTTATTGTTCTGAGCTTTTCATTTCACAGAGAAACATTAATTGTGGGGGCAAATATAAAAAATATTTTTGTTTCGGTATGGGGAAACTTGGTTTAATTTATATATCTTCCTCTAGCCTTGAATCTTTCTTGACATGTGTTGGACATGAAAATATCAGTAAATACAACTGCAAAACGCATACTTGTTTACGGTGTGATGTGAGTATGATGTATTCTGTAAAGATGGACTCACCGAGTCAATGTCAGTGTCATTGTCGTCCGCTCCTGAAAAAAATGAGATGTTTCTTTACAATAAGGAATGATAAATAATATTTTTTTAATTAAAACATACGCAGTTGTACCTGTGGTTGATGGGTTGAGTTTTTCACAGGGCCTGCAGACAAAGTGAAATTTTGGAGGTTTCCCCTACATAACTTTACTATAGTACGTTTTTGCTAAAATACTATGGTAAACTGTAGTAACCTTGTATTTGTACTGCTTTCAAACAAATACAAACTGGGTACAGGTTTGAGAAGCATGTTGCCTATTGTAAATTCTGAACACAAAACTTACCTTGTATTTTCAGGCACAGGAGGGGACTGATGTTAAAAGTGAACAGAGAAACACTTTATTGCTACCATGTTATTGATACTGAAACTGATTCATATGCACTCATCATGGTGTGATGCAAATAATATCTTAAAGGGATTGTTCACCCAAAAATGAAAATTCTATATGACTTTCATCTCTTGAACAAAAGAAAATATTTTGAAAACTTAAATTTTTTTGTCCATATTAAAAGTCAAGTCACCTTCATTTATATAGCGCTTTTAACATATTGTGGTCCACTCATAACAAAAGTCAATGGGGTCCAGTCATACAGGATTTGAACAACATAGGGATGAGTACATCATGACAGAATTTTCATATTTTGATGAACGGTCTCTTTAAACTTGGACTAGCAGTTTCAGTGAAGTTTAATATGAAACGTTGGTGCATATAGACACATCAAACAGTGAGAGTAAATACAGTGAGATTTTATGATTCAAGACTCACATTGGGCTTCTCCAAATCTATCACTACAGGAACTACTATAGGGTCAGTGCCGGTGGGACTTTCATCATCTAAATAGAGAGATATATTATTCAAATTGTTATGATTTTAATAACTCGTTTATTCAGGCCAATAAATATCTATAATTCATATTCTCGTTTTGAACAACACAGAGAAAATAAACATTAAACACCTGAGTATTCAAGGAATTTTATCTTTTTCCTTCTGGGCGTTTCCACTTCTGGTAACCTAAAAGAAACCAAACACAAGATAATCACAACAACTCGGTGATTACTAACTGGACATTATTCTGTAATTAAAAGTTTATACTACTTACCATGTTCGTGAATCAGATACGCTCTGTTATAAAAAAATAAATGAAAAAAAAGACAGAAAATAAGATTAAGCTATACATTTATGTTAATCAGCTGAGTTTGTCTATTTGTGTCTCATGTAACTCAAGTAACCCAATCAAATTCACGGTTTTTGTAGTGTCGGCACGGACACCAGCACAGGCATGGACACGGACACTGGCACGGACACCGACATGGACACGACCAGTACACCAGCACGGATACTGGTATGGACATGGACATGGACAAGGACACCGGCACGGACAAGGTCACTGGCACGGACAAGGACACAGGCACGGACAAGGACACAGGCACGGACAAGGACACAGACAGCCACCGGAACGGACACCGGCACGAGAACAGACACCGGCACGGAAACCAGCACCGGAACGGACACCGGCACTGGCACCCGAACGGACATGGACAAGGAGACCGGACATGGACAAGGACACCGGGACGGACAAGGTCACCGGCACGGACAAGGACACCGGCACGGACAGCCACCGGAACGGACACCTGCACGGACAAGGTCACCGGCACCAGAACCGGAACGGACACCGGCACTGGCACCGGAACAGACACCGGCACGGGAACAGCCACCGGAACGGACACCGGCACGGACACCTACACCGGCACTGAAAAGGAAAACGGCACGGACACCGACACCAGCACAGGCACCAGCACAGACACAGACACAGACACAGACACAGACACAGACACAGACAAAAAAAACGTGAATTTGACTCGGTAACATAAGACTCACCAACAGCGGTTACACAAACAAAACTAGACAAGATACAATGGAAACATGAGGGCTATTTATACACCAAGACTAATGACTAACAAGAAACACCTGTGAACAATCAAGACGATCAACCAATAAGAATATGAAGTGTGTGTGTGGTTCAGGTAAACTCTACGGCCCTGTCCCAAATGGCACACTTCATGTGCACTTTCGGTCTTGTGGACTTACAATGGCTGCCGCGTGCGCGTGTCCGTTAAGTCCGTGAGACCGCAGTGTGTCCCATTTGTCATTTTTAGATCTCAGAAGGGTGCTCGCGAGCGCCCCCTCTGCGGTCGATTTGCGCCCTTGATGCGCACTTTTGCCGAGCCCACGCTGATGCGGACTCCACAGCAGACTTCTTCCCGACATTCAAAGCGGCGTTACGTCGCGAAAGTGCGGACTCAGAGGAAGACCGTGAGTGCTTAGGGTTCCATTTGGGACAGGGCATACGTTATGGAGACAAAATGCCCCCACAAAGATGGCAATATCCGAAATCATTGTGTGGGACACGAGGAAAACAGCTAATAAATCAGACTAAGTGAATTAAAAATGCAAGGTTTCAGTGATGGGTGGGTTTAGGAGTAAGGTTAAGGGATATAATAAATTGTTTGTACAGTATAAAAAGCATTATGTCTATGGAATGTCCCCATAAAACACAACGTGTGTGTGTGTGTGTGTGTGTGTGTGTGTGTGTGTGTGTGTGTGTGTGTGTGTGTGTGTGAGAGAGCTGACCCAGCCATGCAATTCTCCTGGATTGTCTGATGATTCACAAGCCTTCTGATCAGACGTTAAGCCCCCATTTAATGAACCTAACAAACACATGGAAGCATTTAATACTAGAAAATCAGCTGTACAGATAAACCACTGTGGTATCAGCATCATAACAATCAGCTCCTGAAAATAGTGAGATTATGTTTCTTTACAGTAAGAAATGAAAAATGATCCTTTACTTTCACACACAGTGTTCAATTGTACCTGTAACTGATGGACTCAGTTCTTCACGTGGCCTACAAATGGACAGATAAACTTGTTAAAGAAACTTATAAACAAGAAATTTGTCAGTACAATAGATGACTATAGTACTAATCACATATAATTATTTCTTTCTGTAGATTAATGGGTGAATATAGGTCAACATACCGTTTACTTTTAGGGTCAGGAGTTGACTGCTATTGAAAGAGAACAGAGAGCAATTACTACAACATACATTACTAACAACTACTGTAATGTTACAGAAGACACTGTACCATTTCTTTGCTGGAAACAAGAGTTGTGAATTTGCGGTCTGAATTAAATGTTTACAAGATTATGTTTATTTAGAGATATTCACATGATGCACACAGACACAGATTAAACAGCCAAATTATATCATGAAAACTCACATTGTGCTGTTTTGGAGGTGTACACTCTTCTACATCTGACTCTACTGGAGCAAACACGGGATCAACGTCATTCTCTATGATAAATACACATCATAATAGTCCAATTTTATTAATGTTTTACATTTAAATTACAATATCTGTCATCAACATGCCAAACACACATTAATATTCTCATGTTGATGAATAAACAGATGTGAAGAACTGTGAATAAACACTCTACAACTCTGAATTGGGTTATTGAGTACTAGTAAATTGTAATTACAAATACCAGACTCTAAAAAAACTAGTGACTTACTATTCTTTTTTCGGGACAAACTCGCTTCTGACGACCTGAAAGAGCGCAAGCACAAGATCATCAGTAGTATTCACATTGTGATTATTAATTTGGCAATGTTCTGTGATTAAACCAGTTCAGATGGGGAGCAACACACACTGCACACTTACCCTGTAGATGAATTAGATTCACCCTGTTATTAAATGAAGAAAAAGAAAAATCACATCTAGTGTTTCACATTGTAGCCAAAATGAATGTGCCACTCATCTTTTAGTATTGTGCAGTGAAGGTTTAAGTTGGACAGTAATGTGGTTAGGCAAAAGTCAATGTGTGAGTTTATAAAGAGGAAATATGTGTTGGAAGTGTGTGTTTATGCGCTGACCCTGTCAGGCCTTGGTCCATGACTGTCTGTCGATCTTTGTCTCTTAGAGCCACAGAGACCAGACGTTGAGGCCCCTTGCAAACTTACTGAACCTAATAAACAAAAATAAACGGAAAATATGAACCTAATAAACAGAAAATATGAGTATTTCACTAAATAAAGTTGCTGCTTACATATTTGCATCAGATACAAATAAAATGGCAAAAAAAAAAATAATTAAACACTTACTTGTTTCTATGAGGTCTGGATCATGTAATTCACAGAACAGTCTAAAAGGAAAGATTGGTTCATCTAATTTTACTACACTGTCATTATGAAGACATCTAAAACAACATATTCTTTCGTCTTACATATATCTGCCTTCAGCATTGTTTTCAATGGCTCTGGCACGGGCCTCTATGGCGCAGGGATAATGGTACGAGTGCTTACAACGCTTTACATCACATCCTGCTGTAGCTCCCCTTTTCTTGCAGTGGTGGCAAAACTAAAAATAATGACACAGAAATTATGAGTGGGGGTTCAATCTTCAACTGGCTGGCAGGAGCCGCCACTGGCAGGTCACGTGACCTGTCAGTGGCTGGCTGGCAGCTGCCAGTTTGCCAGTGGCAGCTGCCAGTCTGCCACTGACAGTTGCCAGTCTGACACTGGCAGCTGCCAGTCAGCCACTGACAGGTGCAGTGGCTGACAGTGGCTGGCTATAGTAGTCTATTTGGCAAGTTTCAGAAACCATCGATTTTGGACAGTTTTTGTGTTTTGTGTTCCTCCCTTTCTAGCTCATTTATTATGAATCTGTTGATATGAATAATGTTCTTTAGTATGATTGCTGTTTTGTGAACTGTTATCCCAATATAACCAGTCAAATGGCCGTGATCAGACTGGCAGCTTACAGACGCTCGCTGGACGCTCATCCAGTCAGCCGCGGCTGCGAGTCTAATGGTGTGTTCACACCGAACGCGTTTAGAGCGTCAAATACGCGTCTATCGCGTCTAGTTAGACGCTTGAACATTCGCTCGAGTTCAAATTGTTCAACTTGCGCGGAAGACATTCGCGGCAAACGCGTCGCCCAATTCGCCTCATTCGCAACGCCCGGCGCGAATGATGCGTCTATTCGCGTCTTTGCATTGACTTTGTATGCAATCTACTCGCGCAAATAATTAAATTCGCGTTCGGTGTGAACACACCATAACGCGTCGCCTGACGCTCTCGCTACAAGGAAATAAATTGTTTTCTTTTTATAAATATAATGCCATGCCTTTATTTTTGTGGAGGAATGATGTTTTGTGAACTGTTATCCCAGTATAACCAGTCAAATGGCCGTGATCAGACTGGCAGCTAACAGACGCTTGCTCGACGCTCATCCAGTCAGTCGCGGCTGATAGTGCGAGTATAACGCGTTGCCTGACACTCTCGCTGCATGGAAATAAATTGTTTTCTTATTATGAAAATAATGTCATGCCTTTATTCTTGTGTATGATTGATGTTTTGGGGACTGTTATCCCAATATAACCAGTCAAATGGCCGTGATCCGACTGGCAGCTAACAGACGCTTGCTCGACGCTCATCCAGTCAGTCGCGGCTGATAGTGCGAGTATAACGCGTTGCCTGACACTCTCGCTGCATGGAAATAAATTGTTTTCTTATTATGAATATAATGTCATGCCTTTATTCTTGTGTATGATTGATGTTTTGGGGACTGTTATCCCAATATAACCAGTCAAATGGCCGTGATCCGACTGGCAGCTTATAGACGCTTGCTCGACGCTCATCCAGTCAGTCGCAGCTCATAGTGCGAGTATAACGCGTTGCCTGACACTCTCGCTGCATGGAAATTAATTGTTTTCTTATTATGAATATAATGTCACACATCTATTCTTGTGTATGATTGATGTTTTGGGGACTGTTATCCCAATATAACCAGTCAAATGGCCGTGATCCGACTGGCAGCTTACAGACGCTTGCTCGACGCTCATCCAGTCAGTCGCGGCTCATAGTGCGAGTATAACGCGTTGCCTGACACTCTCGCTACAAGGAAATAAATTATTTTCTTATTATGAATATAATGTCATGCCTTTATTCTTGTGTATGATTGATGTTTTGGGGACTGTTATCCCAATATAACCAGTCAAATGGCCGTGATCCGACTGGCAGCTTACTGACGCTTGCTCGACGCTCATCCAGTCAGTCGCGGCTGATAGTGCGAGTATAACGCGTTGCCTGACACTCTCGCTGCAAGGAAATGAATTGTTTTCTTATTATGAATATAATGTCACGCATCTATTCTTCTTTGCAACTGCACACTGTGTGTGTGTTGAATAATAGTTTAAGTGCGACAAGCAATGGCATTTAGATTCTTGATTTTTATTTGTAAATATATTTTTTTATTTGTTTTTATTTGTAAATAGTTTTTTTCTTGGGTTTTATTTGTAAATAGTCTTTGTAAATTTGAAAATAGTGATACAGTCTGTGCTAAGTGATTTTACCGTTAAAGTTGGCATTCTTTTATTGAATTATTAAAAAGCTTTCTTTTATCAAATTATTTAAAAGCATCTCTATTTTGTTCTGGTGTCAGAAAATGGTCAAGGCAATGACAAAGATTCATGTTATTGGGATTAATTCACGTTCGGGACGATTTTAATCCTTGTGAAAAAGTAGCCTATAAAAACGTGAATTAATCCCAATAACATTGTCATTGCCTTGACCATTTTCTGACACCAGAACAAAATAGAGATGCTTTTAAATAATTTGATAAAAGAAAGCTTTTTAATAATTCAATAAAAGAATGCCAACTTTAACGGTAAAATCACTTAGCACAGACTGTATATTTTCAAATTTACAAAGACTATTTACAAATAAAACCCAAGAAAAAAACTATTTACAAATAAAAAACAAGAATCTATATAGGCCATTGCTTGTCGCACTTAAACTATTATTCAACACACAAACAGTGTGCAGTTGCAAAGAAGAATAGATGCGTGAGATTATATTCATAATAAGAAAACAATTTATTTCCTTGCAGCAAGAGTATCAGGCAACGCGTTATACTCGCACTATCAGCCGCGACTGACTGGATGAGCGTCGAGCAAGCGTCTGTAAGCTGCCAGTCGGATCACGGCCATTTGACTGGTTATATTAGGATAACAGTCCCCAAAACATCAATCATACACAAGAATAGATGTGTAACATTATATTCATAATAAGAAAACAATTTATTTCCATGTAGCGAGAGTGTCAGGCAACGCGTTATACTCGCACTATCAGCCGCGACTGACTGCATGAGCGTCGAGCAAGCGTCTGTTAGCTGCCAGTCGGATCACGGCCATTTGACTGGTTATATTGGGATAACAGTCCCCAAAACATCAATAATACAAAAGAATAAAGGCATGACATTATATTCATAATAAGAAAACAATTTATTTCCTTGTAGCAAGAGTGTCAGGCAACGCGTTATACTCGCACTATGAGCCGCGACTGACTGAATGAGCGTCGAGCAAGCGTCTGTAAGCTGCCAGTCGGATCACGGCCATTTGACTGGTTATATTGGGATAACAGTCCCCAAAACATCAATAATACAAAAGAATAAAGGCATGACATTATATTCATAATAAGAAAACAATTTATTTCCTTGTAGCGAGAGTGTCAGGCAACGCGTTATACTCGCACTATGAGCCGCGACTGACTGGATGAGCGTCGAGCAAGCGTCTGTAAGCTGCCAGTCGGATCACGGCCATTTGACTGGTTATATTGGGATAACAGTCCCCAAAACATCAATAATACAAAAGAATAAAGGCATGACATTATATTCATAATAAGAAAACAATTTATTTCCTTGTAGCGAGAGTGTCAGGCAACGCGTTATACTCGCACTATGAGCCGCGACTGACTGGATGAGCGTCGAGCAAGCGTCTGTAAGCTGCCAGTCGGATCACGGCCATTTGACTGGTTATATTGGGATAACAGTCCCCAAAACATCAATCATACACAAGAATAGATGTGTAACATTATATTCATAATAAGAAAACAATTTATTTCCATGCAGCGAGAGTGTCAGGCAACGCGTTATACTCGCACTATCAGCCGCGACTGACTGCATGAGCGTCGAGCAAGCGTCTGTAAGCTGCCAGTCGGATCACGGCCATTTGACTGGTTATATTGGGATAACAGTCCCCAAAACATCAATCATACAAAAGAATAAAGGCATGACATTATATTCATAATAAGAAAACAATTTATTTCCTTGTAGCGAGAGTGTCAGGCAACGCGTTATACTCGCACTATGAGCCGCGACTGACTGGATGAGCGTCGAGCAAGCGTCTGTTAGCTGCCAGTCTGATCACGGCCATTTGACTGGTTATATTGGGATAACAGTCCCCAAAACATCAATCATACACAAGAATAAAGGCATGACATTATATTCATAATAAGAAAACAATTTATTTCCATGCAGCGAGAGTGTCAGGCAACGCGTTATACTCGCACTATCAGCCGCGACTGACTGGATGAGCGTCGAGCAAGCGTCTGTAAGCTGCCAGTCGGATCACGGCCATTTGACTGGTTATATTGGGATAACAGTCCTCAAAACAGCAATCATACTAAAGAACATAATCATATCAACAGATTCCTAATAAATGAGCTAGAAAGAGAGGAACACAAAACCTCAAAAATCAATGGTTTCTGAAACTTGCCAAAGGCAGACTGCCAGACAACTAGCCAGCCACTGGCAGGTCACGTGACATGCCAGTCTCAGACCGGCAGCTGCCAGCCAGCCACTGACAGGTCACGTGACCTGCCAGTGGCGGCTCCTGCCAGCCAGTTGAAGATTGAACCCCTACTGGAAATTATGCATCAACAGAGAAACAACACCAGAATATGATGGTCACATTTTAAAACATAAAATATTTCAAAGTAGGCTACATTTTAAAACATAAAATATGCAGAACAATACAAATTACATGTATTGTACAGAATCTTGTCATGTTTAATTACTTTTGGGATATAACATAAAATAGTCCTAACTACAATCATTTTAAGCTATGCAATTACACTTTTTTAATACCAATTGTGTGTATTGTGTATAGACAATGTGTTATGTAAAGTGTTGCACAAAGTTTTGAGAAAAATGTCTGCACAAAGTTTTGAGAAAAATGTCATCCTGTTAAGATCAATTATGAGATTGTAGAGGTAGCGGAAGTGTGTTTGTGCTTGTGCATTTGTTTCTGCAGGTACGCACTAGTTTTTTTCCTCTCCCCCGCTCTTTCCTTACATCTTCTACTGCAAATCCAAACAGGTCGTCATAGGTGGGCGAGTTCTGGCAGTAGATCCCTGATGCAAACAACTGAGGACACAATAAATAAACATGCACGCACCCAGTCTTTTGGAAACCCCGTAACACAAAATAAGCCTTACCGAACAGCATTAATAATACATTTCTGTACGTCTTACAATATGAAAACAAAGACTACTTACCAAACAGTTCTGGTGTGCAGAGATGTTCTCTTTGGATGAGAGAGGTCCGGTGATTTCGTCTTCGTCTGACTTCTCGCACAATACACAAATAATTTTGCACGGTGATCGATGATCCGATACCATCTTGAGCTCTGCGGGACGGTTTGAGATTCAAAGACGACTCGTGTTGGTTTTATCGGACTGTTACTTCCAGTAAGTGTTAAGTTTCGGTTTCGGTTCTCTGAGTCGAAGGCGGGTCACGTCGTCGTCATCTTCGGCATGCATGAAACCACTCGAACAGACAGAAATCTCGACTGTTTCTACATTCCATCAAACACATCTCCAAACTAGACCAATTTGAAACCTATTCTAATTTGACTATAGAAAAGTTTTGATTAGTTGTTGTCATAGTCTCCCTGAAGAGGGCGCCCGGATTCTCAGCTGAGTTCTCCTCCTTGGGCCGAATCGCGTAACGTTATTTGTTGTATTACAAATTAAAATCTATTAACTAACGAATAGAAAAAACTAAAATAGCAATCTAGATAAATATACATAAACTAATATATGGGTGTTTCTGCAACTACGGGCACTAAGTCCCAGCAGTGAAATTTTAGATTTATGTTAAAATTTGTCATTTGATGTTTCATAATATTCACAGTGCCATTACACACCTTGACAAAAAATATAATTACTGATTAATGTGATTAAATATAATATTATGAAGCATTTATAGCTCAAAACACCATTTTTGTTCATGTCCCACACCTGTCTCAATGTTGAGATACATAAAATGAGCTAATTTAATTAGAATTTGACATTATTTCAAATGGAATTGTTTAATATACAGATTCATTTACAGCATCTTAAAATTATTTGTATTATTTACTGATCTTTTTATGATTTTTTTTTAACTAAATGTGCCTGTCCCACACTTTTGAGTCCTTACTGCAACAATGAAAAAAAGCTTTTATTAAGAAATTTTATCGAACACAAACAAGTCTAGTTTCTATGGAAACAGAAATTATCACTTGAGCACATTGCTGACAGACTGGGCCACCACACTACCTCACTCACAAGATACCAAAAAAATAAGGTAAACATCATCTTTTCTGCTATTTATTGTGCGTCCAAACCATTCAGCTTAATAATTGTGTATTTTGAACTACATTTTAAAAATAAATGTACATTACAGTTGAATTCATATATATTAGGATGATAAGAGTCAAAACTAATGTGGTAGGCCTTGCTAGCTGCCAATTAGCTAAATATTAGCAAAAATGTAATTTCCGCAACATGTCTTTACCGCAGCAAATTTAGGTGTTGTGGTAAAGACCTTGTGTTGTGGTAGAGGCAAATTCAAGGTTTACTGTATATTAAATTACAAATATTCAGTATATTATTAGTACTGAAGTATATATTAGTATATATATATTAGTATACACTCACCTAAAGGATTATTAGGAACACCTGTTCAATTTATCATTAATGCAATTATCTAATCAACCAATCACATGGCAGTTGCTTCAATGCATTTAGGGGTGTGGTCCTGGTCAAGACAATCTCCTGAACTGAATGTCAGAATGGGAAAGAAAGGTGATTTAAGCAATTTTGAGCGTGGCATGGTTGTTGGTGCCAGACGGGCCGGTCTGAGTATTTCACAATCTGCTCAGTTACTGGGATTTTCACGCACAACCATTTCTAGGGTTTACAAAGAATGGTGTGAAAAGGGAAAAACATCCAGTATGCGGCAGTCCTGTGGGCGAAAATGCCTTGTTGATGCTAGAGGTCAGAGGAGAATGGGCCGACTGATTCAAGCTGATAGAAGAGCAACTTTGACTGAAATAACCCCTCGTAAATTGGACATTTGAAGACTGGAAAAATGTTGCCTGGTCTGATGAGTCTTGATTTCTGTTGAGACATTCAGATGGTAGAGTCAGAATTTGGCGTAAACAGAATGAGAACATGGATCCATCATGCCTTGTTACCACTGTGCAGGCTGGTGGTGGTGGTGTAATGGTGTGGGGTATGTTTTCTTGGCACACTTTAGTGCCAATTGGGCATCGTTTAAATGCCACGGCCTACCGTTTAAATGCCAGAAACCTATCATTGTTTCTGACCATGTCCATCCCTTTATGGCCACCATGTACCCATCCTCTGATGGCTACTTCCAGCAGGATAATGCACCATGTCACAAAGCTCGAATCATTTCAAATTGGTTTCTTGAACATGACAATGAGTTCACTACTAAAATGGCCCCCACAGTCACCAGATCTCAACCCAATAGAGCATCTTTGGGATGTGGTGGAACGGGAGCTTCGTGCCCTGGATGTGCATCCCACAAATCTCCATCAACTGCAAGATGCTATCCTATCAATATGGGCCAACATTTCTAAAGAATGCTTTCAGCACCTTGTTGAATCAATGCCACGTAGAATTAAGGCAGTTCTGAAGGCGAAAGGGGGTCAAACACAGTATTAGTAAGCTCCTAATAATCCTTTAGGTGAGTGTATATAAACAAACGTTTTTGATTTCGTGGCAGTTGAACATTGTGTCCTTACCGATACAAGATGTCATTAATGCAGCACTGCTCTATTTTCATTTTTTTTTCACATTTTCATTTGCAATAAAATATTTTTACACTTAAGCCGAGATGATTAACACATTGAAATTACAACATCTGTCATAAAAAGTTAAATATGTTATCTTTTGTGTGTATGGAAACAATTGACATCTAAAGGCTTGTACACACCGGGACGAATATCGGCGCGCGTTATTCGTCAGCGTTTTTCAACGCGTTTTTTGTGTTCACACCCAAGCGATTTTCGCTGACGATGAGCCGAGTGAACATGCAAATTCATTCCCTGACATTAGATGGCGCTTAATGTAAAACAGAAATAGTCCTATTTTGTAGTCGCTGTCGCGTTTGTCATAGTTCTTTATGTCCCGACACCAACGAGACCAGAAGCTCTACATTCATCTTGCCTCGCATCTTCCTCGTCTTATTTCTTCCCGGCAGTGTAGACCATAGATATCCATAATAAAGGCCATATTTGGCCAGCAGCGCGGACGAGACATCTAGCCTTTATTATGGATATCTATGGTGTAGACGCTACTTGGCGCATCTTCTTCGCCGTTACGTATGTGTGCTCAGCAAGACCGTTTTGTGTTTGAGCGCCCCCAAGTTGTGTTTTACTGTAACTTCAGAAGCTCCAGACACGTGAGCAAAAGCGCCAATCTTATTGGTCGGATAGTTTTTGACGCGGCGCGTCAAACCAAAAAAACGAACCCGAGGCGTTTTAAAAAAAATGACGCTTTTACGCGTGGCGTTTTTCGCGTCGGTGTGCACACTCACATTGGCGCCCTTTGTTTAGTCACGAGGCGTTAAACGTTGGCGAATATCGCGCGCGAAATTCGTCCCGGTGTGAACAGGCCTTTAAGGCTCGTACACACCGGGACGAATATCGGCGCGCGTTATTCGTCAGCGTTTTTCAACGCGTTTTTTGTGTTCACACCCAAGCGATTTTCGCTGACGATGAGCCGAGTGAACATGCAAATTCATTCCCTGACATTAGATGGCGCCCATTTGCCCTGCAATACCACTCCATAACATTCTCTTTTATCAAGATTTTGGTAGTCGCTGTCGCGTTTGTCATATAGTTCTTTATGTTCCGACACCAACGAGACCAGCAGCTCTACATTCATCTTGCCTTGCATCTTCCTCGTCTTATTTCTTCCCGGCAGTGTAGACGCTACTTGGCGTATATATCTTCTTCGCCGTTACGTATGTGTGCTCAGCAAGACCGTTTTGTGTTTGAGCGCCCCCAAGTTGTGTTTTACTGTAACTTCAGAAGCTCCAGACACGTGAGCAAAAGCGCCAATCTCATTGGTCAGATAGTTTTTGACGCGGCGACTACATTCTATTTTGTGTAAATTTTTATATGTATTACAGGCTGTGATGGTTAAAATTCATAGAGGTTGATTTTTTTTAAAATTGGGATAGTCAAAAGTGCCCGTAGTTGCAGAAACACCCATATACAGAGATGTATAAAGTACTAGAGACCCAAACTTGAGTAAAAGTACAAGTGCTCTATCAAAAAATTGACCTGAGTAGAAGTTGAAGTGCTCTTTAAGCACCACACTTAAAGGATTAGTTCACTTTTAAAAAAACTTTTGCTGATAATTTACTCACCCCCATGTCATCCAAGATGTCCATGTCTTTCTTTCTTCAGTCGAAAAGAAATGAAGGTTTTTGATGAAAACATTCCAGGATTTTTCTCCATATAATGCACTTTGCTGGGCACCAAACGGTTCAAGGTCCAAATGACAGTTTCAGTGCAAACTGCAAACAGTTCAAAGGGCTTTAAACGATTCCAAACGATGAATAAGGGTCTTATCAAGCGAAACGATCGGTCATTTAAAAAATAAATAACAAAGTTTAAGTTTTATAAGCTCACATGCTCGCGTCGCTCTGTTCTGTGTGACTCTCCTGTTCGAACTCGTTCATCAAAATGAACAAATCTTTTTACGAGTCATTTGATTCATTTAACGACCGAAATGAACGAATTGACTCGGAAAAAGATTTGTTCATTTTGATGAACGAGTTCGAACAGGAGAGTTACACAGAACAGAGCGACGCGAGCATGTGAGCTTATAAAACTTAAACTTTGTTGTTGTTTTTTTAAATGAGCGATCGTTTCGCTTGATAAGACCCTTATTCATTGTCTGGTGTCATTTAAAACCATTTGAACAGTTTGCAGTTTGCACTGAAACTGTCATTTGGACCTTGAACCGTTTGGTAGCCAGTAAAGTGCATTATATGGAGAAAAATCCTGGAATGTTTTCATCAAAAACCTTAATTTCTTTTCGACTGAAGAAAGAAAGACATGGACATCTTGGATGACATGGGGGTGAGTAAATTATCAGCAAAAGTTTTTTTAAAAGTGAACTAATCCTTTAAGTGGAAGTACAAAAGTATTCCAAAAAATTTACTTAAGTATTGAAAGTAGTTTATTTTAAAATTTACTACTCAAGTACTGAAAGTAAAAGTACAAGTTTTGTGTTATGCAGTTAATAAAGAAAGCATATGTCCCTTCCCCCTTTAAAGCATCTCTCCCTTCTCTTCCCTGCTTGTGCCTTTTTTCATTTATCTGCATGTTTCAGCGAT